TCCAGCTCTACACCTTGTTATCTCTACACCCCTTCTCACACTCCTTTAACAGATTATAGGGTGAAGTGCTCCTCTCTGGCTGTTTCAGTTTTAGTTATTGGCAGGGAAGTCAATCTCTGCTTTAGGGCAGATTGGGTGCTCAGGTCTGGGATCTGGCAAGCTCGTGTCTGGGATCTGATTGGATTTGAATGGATGTGAATGGATTTGAACGGATCTGAATGGATTTTAATGGATATGAATGGATTTTAATGGATCTAAATGGATTTTAACAAATCTAAATGGATTTTAATGGATCTAAACGGATTTTAACAAATCTAAATGGATTTGAACAGATCTGAATGGATTGGATTGGATCTGAACAGATTTGGACAGATCTGCTTAGATTTGAACAGATTTAGGGCACGGAAGGTCCCAGCGGAGTTAAAAGGACTGGGGACTAGTGCCTTAGATTTTTAAATACATCTTAGGTGAGAAGTGGAAAATCTGTTAAATTTTGGTGGTTGTTGTTGGTTAAATCAAAAGTCAGGTAATAGGTCTATCAGTCACTAAGAATTTTCTCGGGGTGGAAGAAGTGACTTGGGGGTTTTACAAAAGGTGAGCAAGGTAAAGCTGCTGGAATTGACAGACAAGCCAGAGTTGGGGTTGCCATTGTCTGTGAGAAAAGAAGAGGTAATTACAGCAATAGCTCAACAATTAAATTTGCTGGAAAGCCCATCAGAATCTTTGGAAATAGTTAGAATTCAACTGCAGATGAAGCAGCTTGAACAGGTTACAAGTAGAGGAAAGACAAAAAGAAAAAGAGAGAGAAGAAAGGGAAAACGAGTGAGAGTTTGAACTTTGCAAAGTGCAAATTAGACAGGATAGCCAACTTAGAATGATGGAAATGAAGGTAGAAGATAGACTTAGTGAGTCGGAGAGTGATGATGAGCAGACCCATTGTAGCCAAAAACCTGTTGCGGATATATATAAATCTGTCAAAATATTACCAAAATTCAATGAAAAAGCTGTAGAAACCTTTTTAATTTCCTTTGAGAAATTGGCTAAACAGATGAACTGGCCAAAGGATACGTGGGTAATGTTAATTCAGACCAAGTTGGTAGGCAGAGTTAGTGAGGTGTTTGCAGCACTGTCAGAGGAGGTGTCAAGAGAATATGAAGAAATAAGACAGGCTATTTTGTGCACCTACAAATTGGTATCAGAAGCATACAGACAATGGTTCAGAAATATTGAGTTTGAAAGAATTAAGTAGAGCAACTTCGAAAGATGGGTGAGAGCATCAAAGATAGAAAAGGCATATGAGAATCTTAGAAAAATTATTCTGCTGGAGGAGTTTAAAAATTCACTTCCAGAAGTGATAAGAACTCATGTTGAGGAACAGAAAGTTAAAACAGCGAGAAGTGCTGCAGAGATGGTGGATGAATATGCATTAGTGCATAAATCGAAGTCTAGCTTCTGGCAGCAATTTCATTCCATGAGGGATAGAAATTGGGAGCAGGAAGATCCTTCAATGAAAAACAAAAAGTAGATCACACTGGATACAATTTACCATATGTGCAAAAAGAAACCCAAAAGGGTGGAAAAGAGGTGAGAGACTTCAGGTGTTTTCACTACAATAAGGTGGGACACACAAAGTCACAGTGCTGGTGGATTAAGAGATGCTCTGGGAAAAGGATGTGGTAAAAAAAGCTAAACCAATGGGATTAGTTAAGATAGTGAAGGAAATCCCAAGAGAAGTCGCGGAGCTGCAGGAGATTGCATGGCTTAGTCATGGGCTGGATAATGAGTTAGCTCCCAAACTTTTCAGAGTTTACCTGTGAGGGTAAGGTTTGCTCAGGGGTACAGGAGGTGTAGGTAAAGCAGTTAAAATGTTGAGAGGTATGGGAGCTGGTCTGTCTTTAATAGTAAGAAATGAAAATATTTGCACTCCTTCTGAAATGTTGCCTGAGAGATTGATAATCTGTGGAATAAAAGGAGAGAGAATTCGTGTTACCCTGTGTAAGACATGTACAATCAAGACTGGGGAAGTGGCTGTGGAAGTGATTGAAAATTTGGCTAATCCAGGAATACAGTTTGTTCTTGGAAATTATATAGCTGGATCACAGGTAGGAGTGATGCCCATTGTAGTGGAGAAGCCAAAAGAAAACCAGGGAACTGAGGAGTTAAAAGGAAAATACCCTGGAATTTTTCCAGACTGTGTGATGACAAGATCCCACAGCCATTAGCTAAAACAAGAAGGAAAACAAAAGAGAAAATGAAAGAGTTGAAGTCCAGTTATCTGACACCCAGTTTGATGAAATAGTAAAGGAAAAACTTAAGCAGGTACAGGATCAGACAGAGGTGTTTAGTTCTGAAAGATTAGCGGAATTATAACAAAAAGATGAGATGGTAAAGGATTCATATCATAAAGCCTACTTGGAAAAGGAATCAGAATGTATTCCAGAATGCTATTACACTAAAGGTAAAATCTTAAAGCAGAAATAGAGACCATGTCAGGTTAGTGCAGATAAGAAATGGGCGAAAGTTCACCAGATTGTGTTGCTCGTGGAACACAGACAGGAAGTATTGCAGGTAGCACCTGAATTACCTGTAGGAGATCATGTGGGAGTGAGGAAGACTCAGGCTAAGATATGGAAGCATTTCTATTGGCCTGGATTACATAAAGATGGGTTGAATTTTGCTGTACCTGTCATACGTGTCAGATGGTAGGAAAGCTACAGGCAGTAATAAAAACCAATTCCTGCATTTGAAGAACATTTCACGTGGGTTATCATTGATTCCATAGGTCCCCTCTCTAAAAGCAAAAGTGTGAACCAATATTTGCTAACCCTAATGGATGTGTCTACCAGGTTTTTGGAGGCAACTCCATTACGGAATAACAAAGCAAAAAAGGTTGTGGAGGAGTTGTATGTTTTCTTTACTCATTTTGGATTACTCAAGGATATTCAGTCAGACCAAGGGTTTTACTATCACATTATTTAAGGAGGTCATGGATAGTTTAGGCATCCAACACTTTAAATCAAGTGTGTACCATCCTGAATCCCAGACATCATTGGAAAGGTGTCATCAGACCCTAAAGACTATGCTGAGAGCTTATTGCCAGGATTACTCAAATGATTGGGATTAAGGTATCCCATTTATATTATTTGCTATTAGAGATGCTCCAAATGAATTGATTCAGTTTACTCTGCATTGTTATACAAAAGACAAAAAGTCTATCGTCATATATCCTGCCAACATCCACTGTTCAACCTTTTACACTCACATAGCCCAGCAATTAACAATCTTTGTCAATTAGAAGTCTAAAATTCATATGCTTTGCTTAATTCTCTCTTACATAGCACTGTTGCAAGCCCTGTACTTACAACATATACTATTATGAACCCAGCAGATGTTATCACTGGACAAGTCGAGCGTGTGTGCGTATGTACGTGCATGCGTGCATGCGTGCATGCATGCATGTGTGGGTAAAACGCCTTTTATCAAGGCAATATCTGCCACACTTTCCATTGGTAGTGTGCTTCACAACTTGAACATCCTGTTTCACCATTGGGAGACCAAAGAACATTTACAACAGCATAATTTCTCCCTCATTATCATTCCAGGATTTTATACATATGTTAATTTGTTCTGTTTGGAAAATGTACAGTTCCTATATGAATAAATGCTAATTATTTCTTGTCCTCTTTTGCATGAACCTCCACAGTTGTTGTCAAGCACTAATATCTAGGAAAGGATTGAACTCAACAATAATCAAACATGAAAGTGGAAAAGCAATACAGGGGAAATTTTCCCAAATGTTTGGAGGCAGGTTCGGGAGCTTTAAAAGGCAATTAATAGTGTTTTTAAGCATAGAATCCTTCATTCCCAATTGTGCATTGGTTAAACGTGATGTTTGCAACTCAGCAGGTTGGAGAAAGTGAGTATACAGTGGGAACTTAACATAAGATGAAATGATATGAGCAGTATAAAGAGTGAAGCAGACAAGTTTGTATTCGGCAACGATGTAAGTTTTCCACTGACAGGAGTAGTTCTTTCAGTCTAAACTCACGTATTTTGTTGTGGACAGTAACATTAATACCTAGGATCAATCTCGTCTTACTGCCTGTAAAACTTCCCTGTGACAACAAGGTGCAGAGCTGGATGAACACAGCAGGCCAAGCAGCATCATAGGAGCAGAAAGGCCGACGTTTCGGGCCTAGACCCTTCATCAGAAAAGGGGGAGGGGAAGGGGGTTCTGAAATAAATAGGGAGAGAGTGGGAGGCAGATAGAAGATGGATAGAGGAGAGGATAGGTGGAGAGGAAACAAACAGGTCGAAGAGGCGGGGATGGAGCCAGTAAAGGTGAGTGTAGGTGGGGAGGTAGGGAGGGGATAGGTCAGTCCAGGGAGGACGGACAGGTCAAGGGGGTGGGATGAGGTTAGTCAGTAGGAGATGGGGGTGCGGCTTGAGGTCGGAGGAGGGGATAGGTGGGAGGAAGAACAGGTTAGGGAGGTGGGGACGAGCTGGACTCGTTTTGGGATGTGGTAGGGGGAGGGGAGATTTTGAAGCTTGTGAAATCCACATTGATACCATTGGGCTGCAGGGTTCCCAAGCGGAATATGAGTTGCTGTTCCTGCAACCTTCGGGTGGCATCGTTGTGGCACTGCAGGAGGCCCAGGATGGACATGTCGTCTGAGGAATGGGAGGGGGAGTTGAAATGGTTCGCAACTAGGAGGTGCAGTTGTTTATTGCAAACCGAGCATAGGTGTTCTGCAAAGCGGTCCCCGAGCCTCCGCTTGGTTTCCCCGATGTAGAGGAAGCCACACCGGGTACAACGGATGCAGTATACCACGTTGGCAGATGTGCAGGTGATGTGACATAGGTTTGCATATTCAGCAGTTAGTTGGATCTCTGATCTGTGTGGTCCAGTCCAGAAACTGTAATTGCAGGAGCAGCGTTCTCCACAGCTACATGCACAAGATGGAACAGAGGGGATAGAACACAGCTACAACTTAAAGCAGATGATACCCTCAGGAAAGGGTGTCTAGACCGAAGGTATACTTGCTCAAACTGCACTGTCTCTAATGGCTAAGCTTCTTGCAGCAGGCAGTCACAGTTAACTACAGTCTCCCAGTGATAGTCTTTCAAGTACAGCAGTTGGTAACGCTGCCCATGGCAACCATAACCTTCAACATTTCACATCCAGGTCCTTTCGGAGCTCAGTTGCTGACATCTGCTGACATATTCAGTTGCTGATTTCAACTGAACCTGAGGCAGGTTCAGTTGAGGTGGAGGATAATAGATTACTTGGGTAGAAATGGTGTTCAGGGACATGGGGAAAAGAAAGGAGATTTTCACTAGTTATAAGAGCTGGCGAAGGCATGATGAACCAAATAGCCACCTCCTGCATTGTAGCAATTCTATGATATGTTGAATTTCACAATGTGTAGCCCAATGCTACATCAGCCAGGCAACCAATGCCTTGTTTGGAAAGATTACAACTGTATTCAGTCTGAGATTGTTGAAGGAGTCAAACACAGCTTCACTTTGCTTTCCCTTTGAAACCCACCCTACCGCAACACTAACAAACCTTACTACAGACGCAAGACACCCACCACTTTCACATGGCAGTTAATGACCTTTATCAAAATTAAAATGAGCAGAATCACTGGGGGAATCCACCAATTAGACATCATAGCATTAAATTAGTTCACAGAAACTCATTCTTATACTCAAGTATGAAAAAGCACCATTGGAACATTAACAATTTGAGAAGTACTCTTGTGATTTTCTCTGTGCTACTGAGAACAGTTCCTTGTATTTCCTTCTATAACTCCTACCTGATGGTCCTCTGTAGGTTCAGCAAAGCCGGAGAAAGGCTACACGTTCCCCTGTTCTGCCACAAGATGCCCATGACAGACATAGACTCAGTTTGGAGCTCATGAGGAATCTGTCAAAAGATCTGCTCACCTTTGCTTGTGCAGGAAATGGCATGCTTTGTTTATGGTTTTGTTAACTTGACAGCCAGTGTGTGCAGGAAATGGCTGTGTATAGGAAATTGGTGTGTGCAGAAATGACTGAGAGATCATAGCATTCATCCTACAGATAGACTCCTCTATTTTCTGCATAAGGATGCTCACTGCCTCTGGACAACCTGACAGAAACATATGCATTTCCCTTTGCTGTTCCACAAATATCCTTTCAGTGTATGCCTAGCAGAACAGAATCAGGGAGGAGAACTGCTCATTCCTGTTCTGGTCTCCCCCATCTGCTCCTGTTCACGAGTGATGTGCTCCTTGCCATGTGCCACCCTGCTAAGCCCATCAAGATTTGTATATCTGCTTTTCTGTAGTGTACACAGAAGTCATATGACAGGACTAGCCTTCCTCTGAAGACTGCTCAGGCGTAATCCTCATTTGCTTCACTGGCAGCTTCAACTTACCTGTGGGAAATGAAAGATGAGTTAAAGATAGACCAAAATGAAATGGGCACTCCAAGTTAACATAAAACAAATCATGGCATTTAATGTATGGTTGACATTGATTCAGTATTAGTGACAGCTATGTTAGGGGTATTGTAACATTTAATCCTGTTACTATCTGGGCCATCCCCAGCTCTCCATTGACATTGATCTGTACAACTATCTCCCTTTCAAGCTCCAAGGTTACCTGCTCAATCAGGGTAAGGGTCGCCATGGCTGGATGCAGCTCAACCCCAGTTCTCTGCCTGACTTGGGTATCTTTTTCCTGCAACAAGAAAAGCTGAGACTTTTTGGGTGAGCTGTTAACTGAGCTAACTGGATGTTGAGGGTCGAGGATAAACATTTGAGGAGGACAACTCTGCAGAATGGAACTGAGGGCATTGACTGGGCAGCTCAGTGGCTCGGTGGTTAGCACTGCTGCCTCACAGCACCAGGGAACCCCCCAAGTTTGATTCTGCCTTCTTGATTCTCCTCATGTCTGCGTGCATTTCCTCTGGGTGGTCCAGTTTCCTCCCACAGTTCAAAGATGTGCAAGTTAGGTGGATTGACGATGCTAAATTGCCCGTAGTGTTCAGAGAAGTGCAGGCGAAGTGGTTTAGCCATTGGAAATGCAGGGTTACAAGGATAGGATAGAGGGGTGAGTCTAGGTGGAATGCTCTTTGGTAGTTCAGTGTGGACTCAATGGGCGGAATGGCCTGCTTCCACACTGTAGGGATTCTATGATTCTGTGACTATTGATACGGAAATCTGGGACAGGGACTGCAGAGAAATGGGTGTGTGTAACAACAAGTTGTGTCCATCAGAAGAGTGCTATGCAAGAGAACGCTCGGCGGCTGAGAAAGTCATGGCTCCCAGTTGACAGTTTCAGGTACTCACCTCATCAGACCTCAATGAACCATTTTCAGCATTGGATCCAGGTCTTCAGCCTCACATCTTGGTTACTGATAATTTCATACATGCATGATGTGGTTGGCTGGTCTACTCCTATTGTCCTGTGTGAAAAGGGCTTCTCTCCATGCCTTCATTTTATCGATCATCTTCATGGATGACTCTATAAACAGGAGGGCAGCTTTCCAGGATTTCCATCTCCTTTCTCCTTCACACAGGATTGTTTTCTTTCCCCTTGGGATCCATTTAAGTAAAGATGCTTCACTACTGCTTTAGGTACAACATCCTGACCCTCTTAGCCTTGACTGGGTGGCAAATCAAAAGGTAGGATGATAATTAGTTTGTTCTGGAAATACCAACAGCACAGTGTGCAAATTAGAACCAAGTTCCTGAAACAAAAAAAATCCCATCGTTCCAGCAGGGAATAAGCTGAAAAAAAATTCTGCCTGTGATTTCAACTAGTAATGGAATTCATAAACATGCTGATTCTCATTCTGAAGTTATATTCAACAAATGCAATTGTGAGCTGTGAAGAAAATTAATTATGCACAAAATTGAAAAATATTTTCAATGCACATAAAATTCTTCATCAAACAAAAATGATAATTTGTAACCATATCTCATAACAATTGCTGTGGTTATTATTTTAAGTTTAAATGCTGCTTGGTTTATTTACCTTTTCTGAAGTAAGATACTGCTACTTTTAAGACTTTTTACTCTAATGAGGCAATTTTTACCTCAGTATGAGTATCCTATCTGTAAATTAATTAAATGGACTTACGTGCCCATGAAGGTCTGTGTTCAAAAGCATTAGTGCACAAGTTAAGGTATGGACTCCATCTGAAAAATACAAATGTATCATTATCACTTTTAATTGCACATGCTGAAATAAAATACTATGTTGCAAATATTCTGCTGTTGGTGCTGAATTGAGACTGAAACATGGCATCGATGTGCTCACGGTAACTTGCAACATTGGTAACTTGACATTGTGCTATATCTCATGATAATTGTGTTTGCAGGCTCAGTGGCATTGACTTTTACAGAACAATGCTTACAAAATAGTGATCTCGTATAGAAGCAGTGGAGATGGCTTTCATGCATCTGATTGAGATGATGGATAGACTAGAGGAACTCATTATCTGCACACACAATACACTTAGAAGTTTTCACACGACCTACAGAAAATTCTAGAGATAGTGATAGCTCAGCAGATATCTGCAGTAATAAGTTGCTAGGAGGACGCAATAAGAATACAGGAGGTTGTTGGAGTGGCGGTTCTTTCTGATTCAACTTGAAAATCAGCTTAAGTACTACACTTGCATAAGGTGTCCAAAATCAGCTTGGCTCAGCATAATACTGATCAGTTGTACGTCTGATCTTCTGTGCAACACCAGTGGAAAAGCCTTGCTGGGTGAATACTATCTGAATATATTGTTTGTCAATTATTTTCCCCTTTCTATCCCAACTGTACTAATACTCCTTTTAAGATCAATATCTAGTGAAATGTCTATTTTCTACATTCTGTAAAAAACTAAAGCAAAATTATTCATTAACACTTTTACCATTTCTCCGTCATTACCTGTCACTTTATCATGCTCACCCTTTAACGAACCTACCGAGACTTTAATTCTTTTTATTTGTGTGTCCATACTTTATCATTTCTTTTAACATGCCTTGGTAAGTATTTCTTTCTGCTTCCCTGATCATTTAAAAAAAATTTTTCTCTTGAGTTCCTCGCATTCTATTTTGGCTTCCTCTCCTTTAGTATCTAATTGTTTATTATGTGTCTTCATCCTTGGATCCAATTTTCCCTTTAGTTCTCCATTTATCGACTGTGCTCTAATATTAGCTTACATTTTTCTGACTTTCAGCGGAATAAATTTCTCCAGATTGATTAACAATAAAGAGCTTTCACAATTTTACTGTCTTGATGGTTGGAACCTTGCAGACCTTGCAGAGACAGGTTTGAAAGTAGGGCCAGGAAAAAAATTTCAAAAGGTGCATAAAGGACTGGTTCCTTAACATCTGCCTGCTTCCAAGCATTCTTGCCAAAGGCAGGAGCAGGATCGATCAAGGATCCTTTTAGGACTAAAGTGCAGAGGGAAGGAATAACACTTATTGGTAAGGTCTTGGGGTGTGTTGCTGAACAAAGAGACCATGGGGTGCAGGTTCACAGTTCGTTGAAAGCAGTCACAGGTAGACAGATGAGTGAAGAAGTCATTTGGTATGCTTGCCTTCATTGGTCAGTGCATTGAGTACAGGAGCTGAGAGGTCATGTTCGGCTGTACAGGACATTGGTTAGGCCACTTTTGGAATACTGCTCCCTGCTACAGGAAATATGTTGTTACACTTGAAAGGGTTCAGAAAAGATTTACAAGGGTGTTGCCAGGGTTGGAAGGTTTGAGCTATAGGGAAAGGCTGAATAGACTAGGACTATTTACTCTGGAGTGTCGGAGGCTGAGGGGTGACCTTATAGAAGTTCATAAAATCATGAGGGGCATGGATAGGGTGAATAGCCAAGGTCTTTTCCTGAGGGTAGGGGAGTCCAAAACTGGACGGCATAGGTTTAGGGTGAGAGGGGAAAGATTTAAAAGGGACCTAAGAGTCAATTTTTTCACACAGGGTGTGGTGTGGGCATGGAATGAACTGCCAGAGGAAGTGGTGGAGATGGGTAAAATCACAACATTTAAAAGGCATCTTGATGGGTATATGAATAGGAAGGGTTTAGAGGGATATGTGCCAAATGCTGGCAAATGGGACTAGATTAATTTAGGATATCTGGTTGGCATGGACAAGTTGGACTGAAGGGTCTGTTTCCGTGCTGTATATCTCTATGATTTCTCGAATTAATCTTGTAGTGACTATCTGAGGGAATGGATGAATAAAGAACAGCATGCTCATTCCTCACCCAGAAACTTAACGATTTGAGGTATCCTGTCTGGAACCATTTCAAAATGGGGAATCTCACCCAGGGTCTGGGCATAACAATATATTTGCCTGAATAGAAACAAGGTGCAGGATTAGGGCATGTGGCCCTTCAAGCCTGCTGTGCCATTCAATATGATCAGGGCTAGTCTTCTACCTCAGTGCCATTTTTGGGCTTGATGCCTTTAAAATCTAAAAATTTATCTCATTCTTGAATATATTCCATGACTTGTCTTCCATTGTCTTCTGTGGTCGAGTATTCCAGTAGTTCACTAGCTTTTGAGTGAAGAACGATTTCCTCACCTCAGTCCTAATGGTGCACCCCATATCCTGAGATTGTGTCTCCCAGTTCTAGACTCGCCAACCAGGGAAAACATCCTCTTTGCATCTAGAGTGTTTAGCCCTGTTTGAATTTTATATGTTTCTATTAGATCCCCTCCCATCTTTCTGAACTTTAGTCAATACTGACCCAGTCTAACTAATTTCTCCTTATAGGATAGTCCTACTATTCCCAATATTAGCTCAGTGAATCTCTCTTATACTGCCTGTATAGCAAGTATGTCCTTTATTATGTGAGGAGACCAAAAATGCAAGCAATTTCAAAGTCTCACTGAGGCCCTGTATAACTCAAATCCTCTTGCAATGAAGACCAATATTCCATTTGCCTTCCTGCTTCATTACATTCATTGACTGGTATATAAGAACATCCAGATCCCTTTGTGCAACCACACTTTTCATTAAGTCACTATTTAAATAATATCTTCCATTCTGTTTTTCACGCCAAAATGTATAACCTCACATTTAGCCATGTTGTACTGTGTCTGCCATGTATTTGCCCAATCAAGTAACTCACCTAAATCACTTTGAAGCCTCCTTGCATCCTCGTCTCAACTCACAATCCCACCCAGTTTTTTGTCATCAGTAAACTTGGAAATGTTGTATTTAGTTCCCTCATCCAGGTCATTTACATATAGTGTCAATAGCTGGGGAACAAGCACTGGTTGTTATGGTATTCCACTAGTCACTTTCTGCCACTTGGAAAACAGTTCATTTATTCCCACAAAAAGTGCTGGAGAAAATTAACAGTTCTGCGAGCATCTATCAAAAAGAAACAGTGTTACAACTTCTTCAGAACTGGACTTGAAATGTTAATTTGGTGTGTCTCTCCACAGATGCTGCCAGACCTTCTGAGCTTCTGCATTTCCTGTGTGTTTTTCTCCTCAGACTTCCAGCATCTGCAGTTTTTTTTTATTTGCACATTTATTCCCACTTTGTTTCTTGTCTGCCAACCAGTTCTTGATTCATTAGGGTTAGTGTTAGGCCAATATATTACCATCTATCCTATATGCTTTAAATTTGTCTACTAACCTCTTATAAAGGCAGTTCACAGGAGTTTCACCAGGTTGATTCCAGGGATGAAAGGGCTGTTGTCAGAGGAGTGGTTGAATAGCTTGGGTTTGTACTCACTGGAGTTTAGAAGAACGAGGGGGGATCTGATTGAGGAATATAAAATGCTACCAAGGGGATTGATAAGGTGGACATTGAACAGATGTCCCCCTTGTGGGGCAGCCTCGAACAAGAGGTCATATAGAGTGAGACGAAGTAGGTTCAAAACTGAGTTAAGGAGAAATTACTTCTATCAGAGGGTTGTGAATCTGTGGAAGTCACTGTCCCAGAATGCAGTGAAGCAGAATCAATCGACTGATTCAGGAAAGAAATAATTATAACGGGATAAAGGGCAATGGGGAGCAGGCAGGAAAGTGGAGTTGATAAGATAAGATCAGCGACGATCATATTAAATAACAGAGCAGGCTCAAAGGGCTGAATTGACTATTCCTGCTCTTAATTCTTATGTTCCTATGAAGAATCTTAATGAAAGCCTTCTGAAAATCCAAGTGTGCCACATTCTCCGCACCCATTCTAATAGTTACATTCTTGAAAAACTCAAGTAGATTTGTTAAGCATAATCTGCTTTTCATAAACCCCTGCTGGGCTTGTCCAATCCTGTAAATACTTTCCAAATGTTCTGTTATTATGTCTTTATTACTGTTTAAAAATGGAAGTAGACAAAAAGCAGATAACTATAGGCCAGTTAGCTTAACTCCAGTAGTGGGGAAAATGCTTGAATCTATCATTAAGGAAGAAATAGCAAGACATCTGGATATAAATTGTCCCATTGGGAACACCCAGCATGGGTTCATGAAGGGTAGGTCAGGTTTAACTAATTTGGTAGAATTCTTTGAGGACATTACTTGCATGGTGGACAATGGGGAACCTGTGGATGTGGTGAATCTGGATTTCCAGAAGGCATTTGACAAGGTACCACACTAAAGGCTGCTACATAAGATAAAGTTGCACGGTATTACAGGTAATGTATTGGCATGGATAGAGGATTGGTTGACCAGTAGAAAGCAAAGAGTAGGGGTAAATGGGTGTTTTTCTGGTTGGCAGTCAGTGGCTAGTGGGTGTGCCTCAGGGATCAGTGTTGGGACCGCAATTGTTTACAATTTACATAGATGATTTGGAGTCGGGGACTAAGTGTGGTGTGTCAAAATTTGCAGATGACACTAAGGTGAGTGGTAGAGCAAAGTGTGCAGAAGACACTGAAAGTCTGCAGAGGGACATAGATAGTCTAAGTGAGTGGGGAAACGTCTGGAAGATGGAGTACAATGTTGTTAAGTGTGAGGTCATCCATTTTGGTAGGAATAACAGGAAAATGGACTATGTTTTAAATGGTAAAAAATTGCAGCACACTGCTGGGCAGAGGGACTTGGGTGTCCTTGTGCATGAATCGCTAAAAGTAGGATTGCAGGTGCAGCAGGTATTTAAAAGGGCAAATGGAATTTTGTCTGCCATTGCTCGAGGGATGGAATTTAAAAACAGGGAGGCAATGCTGCAGCTGTATAGAGTCCTGGTGAGGCCACACCTGGAGTACTGTGTGCAGTTTTGGTCTCATTACTTGAGAAGAGATATACTAGCCCTGAAGAGGGTGCAGAGGAGATTCACTCGGTTGACTCCAGAGAGGGTTGGATTATGAAGAGAGACTGAGTAGACTGGGATTATACTCATTGGAATTCAGAAGAATGAGGGGAGATCTTATAGAAACATATAAGATTATGAAGGGAATAGATAAGGTGGAGGCAGGGAGGTTGTTTCCGCTAGCAGGTGAAACTAGGACTAGAGGGCATCGCCTCAAAATAAAGGGAAGCAGATGTAGGACTGAGGTCAGGAGGAACTTCTTCACCCAAAGGATTGTGAATCTGTGGAATTCCCTGCCCAGTGAAGCGGTTGAAGCTACCTCGCTGAATGTTTTTAAGACAAGGCTAGATAAATTTTTGAACAGTAAAGGAATTAAGGGTTATGGTGAGTGGGCGGGTAAGTGGAGCTGAGTCTCAAAAAGATCAGCCATGATCTTATTAAATGGCGGGGCAGGCTCGAGGGGCCAGATGGCCTACTCTTGCTCCTAGTTCTTATGTTCTTATGTCTTTTGTAACAGACTCCAGCATTTTCCTCACTACTAATGTTAGGTCTACTGCTGTGTAATTCTCTGTTTATTTCTGTTCTGTAATTCTCTGTTTATTTCTCTCACTCCCTTTTTAAACAGTGGGGTTACATTTGCTACCCAATAATCTGTAGGAACTGCTCCAGAGTCCATAGTATTTTGGAAGATGATCACCAATGCATACAATATTTCCAGGGTCACTTCCTTTAGTACTCTGGGATATAGATGATCAGGGCCATGTGTTTTGTTAGCTCTTACCCCATGAATTTCCCTCCAACCATAATACTGATTTCCTTCAAGTCTGTCCCCTCACGAGACGCTTGGTTTCCTAACATTTCTGGAAGGTTATTTGTGCTTTTGTGAAGACAGAAAGAATGTGTTCAATTCTTCTGCTATTTCCTTGTTTTCCATTATAATTTCCTGGCTTCTGACTGTTAGGGAACTACATTTGTTCTTTCTACTCTTTTTCTCTTCACATATTTATAGAAACATTATGGGCAGTTGCCATGTTCCCTGCAATTTTACTCTCATATGCTATTTTATCTCTCTTGATTAAACAGTTTTTCTGTTTTGCTTAATTCTAAAATGCTCCCCATCCCCATGGGAACTAATATTATCCTATATTTTATAAGCCATTGGTAACCCTACATGTTTTTTCCTCCAATTTGATTCCATTATTTGGTCTACACAATATCCTCTGTAGGGTCAACAAGGTGCAGAACTGGATGAACACAGCAGGCCAAGCAGCATCATAGGAGCAGAAAGGCTGATGTTTCGGGCCTAGACCCTTAGGGTGTTGGATCCCTCTTGTCTTTTACCTTAATTTTTATCAGAATCTTAATTGCTATAACTTATTAATAGTTACTTCTCTTTAGTTTCTGCTTCCGTTATTGCTGTCTTTAACTACTGGATGTGACATTTTTTTTGCAGATATGGAAATTTGGAATAGTCTTGGCCAGAAACTATATCAACACATTACTAGCACTGCCAGGTCATTATAAATTATTTATGCTTAGATTAGCTATCTGGAATTTATTTCCTGAACAAATTGGTCACTTGAGATCTAGATATAATACATGAATTTAGCTTGATTTAAAATGAATTAGTCATTACAGAAGTTACAGTAATTAATTACAAAGTGATTTGCCAGTTATTTAGCATTTTATGCTCAGTTTGAATTGAATCACAGCGAATTTTCGTTTTACATACATTCTTTCATCCTAATGTTAAATTTTCATGTACTAACGCTTTACATCACCCACTAGTACTATTTATATATACTAGTCAAACAAGGAATAGCTAAGTTCTTCCTGTTATATTTATCTTCATTTCTATGGTTCTGCTACTTGTCTCTGCATGTTAATTATGGTATCACATTTTCTATTTCCTCCCCTGAGATTATTTACTGTTGTCCCCTTGCTTAAAGAACTTGGTGTCTCCTTTATCCTCTGCACTAGGCTCCCACTCGCACAAAATTCCTGTTTCTTTTCAGCAGATTCCTACAGCCCTGTACACATATTACATAACACATTCTTATCCATAGAAGTTCCTGAAACAAACAAATATCATGCAAGTATTGTGGTAAATTTGTATCAAGAAAAACTGATTTTTAACTGCAACATTTTGAAGTGTTCTCAATTTGTAAAATTCAGCTTCAGAGATGTTAAACTGATTCTCAAAATCTTCAGCAAAGGTACAATTGCTATCAATGTAAATAATCAAAATATATTTAAATATGTTTTCTCCCTTTGAAATTTATTCCAACAACCGAAGTATAATAATTAATCATTTAAGCATATTATCACCATTTAATTGTACTTGTGACTATTTCTGTACCTTCAGAATTGATACAATGATGATTGCATTGACAGTATCTCTTAGAAAAATGAATCAGAACTCTCTCTCGCTCCTGCGTTTCACCCATCAGTGGAAAAGCTTTCAAAAATCTCCTAGTGGATGAAGGGAACAGAAGAACGATTTAAAAAGTCATCAAGAAATTAGAAACTTCAACTTATTCAGAAAGTCTGAAATACATTTGCTTATAAATAGATCATTACAAAGATGATTTCAATGCTCTTGTTTTCTTGTGGGAGCATATTACGTGCATACAAATGCATTGCAGATGTTGTTGAAATTCCCCTACATTTTAGTGATACAACATAAGTTATGCAGCCATTCCAAAGAAATAAATTGGTCAGTGCACGACCATATTAAAACACTATTTTATTTAAAATTAGGTATGCAAAATTGATGCTACAGTGCTATTTTACATTTTCAATTTTAAGAAGTAAATATAACTAAAATTAAGGTAGATAAGTAATAAGACTATTCCCACTAATTTGTATACAAAAGTACCTTTGCTTCAAAGATTGCTATGAAAGGAAAGCAGGAAGGAAACATACTTATATCCCTTCATTTGAATCCTGACTATCACTTGGGGATGGTTCTCGTCATCTACTCAAAAGAAGCTGCTTTTTTAAAATTAATTTTAAACAAGAGGCTAAAGGTGAACATTAAATATCAATACTTAAAGACAAAGTGATAGTTGAAAGGCCTTATATAGGTTGTTAGTGCTTAGACTAGTGGTTAATGAGACAATTACATTGACTGCATAAACCCACATTTTTTTTTACTGCTGTTGTAGCTGCATTCACTCATATGAACATAATCAATTCCATTACACTCCTGATTTTGCCTTATTGATTGTGAAGTGGTATGGATATTCAGAAGGTGAGTCATTCACCCTTGGATACCCAGCCTCTGCCCTGCTCTTTTAGCTGAGATTGATCCTTTTCAGCTTCTTGTCAATCATGACACTCAGAATGTATATAATGGGGCATTCAGCAATAGTGATAATTGGACATTTTCATGCTTTATATGGGGATGGATGGTTTCATTGTAAAGGTATTGCGAATGAGGCTGAACATTGCTCAGTGATTTACTCCATTTTGGAATTTATGATGCAGGAAGGGTCACTGATGGGACATCTGGAGGGAGATGGACCTAGGACAGTGCTCTGAGGAACTCCTTCAGCAATAAACTGGGCCTAAAGTGATTCAACCCAAACATGCACCGCCATAGCCAACTTTTTTTCTGTTCCAGCTATCACTCTAACTATTGAAAAGTTTCCCACTGATTCCCATTAACTTCAACTTCTGTAGGATTCTTCATGGTACACGGCCAAATGCTGCCTTGGTGGAAAGAATAGTCACTTGTAGGCTGGGGAAGCACTCTCCAGCTGTGAATGTGACACTGTATTATCCTTCCTCCTTTTCTCCTAGTTGTTCCTCTCATCAACAATCTCTTGTATTAAGAATGAGCCATTGGCTGTGTGGAAGTTAAATATCAATCTTGGTGAGTTTTCAAATGGCTTAAAAGCTCTATCTTAGCCTTGCATGCACTGGCACTGTGCACTGAGATATCAAAAAAAATCATAAAACATCTCTCATAGCCCTACCCCTTCCATCACATGTGCCATATCACCTCATGTCCTGTATTAACCCGTAGTAATCCCTCATTTTTTTAAGTTCAGTCATGGGACATGAGTTTCGCTGGCTGGCCATTTTTATTGCCCGTCCCTAGTTGCCCTTCAGAAGGTGATGGTGAGCTGCTTTCTCAAACTGCTGCAGTCCACCTGCTGTGGGTTGACCACAATACCTTTAGGGAGAGAATTCCAGGATTTTGACCCAGCAATAGTGAAGGATTGGTGATATATTTCCAAGTCAGGATGGTGAGTGACTTGGAGGGGATCTTGCAAGTGGTGGCATTCCCATGTTCCTGTTGCCCTTGTCCTTCTAAATGGAAATGGACATGGATTTGGAAGGTGTTGTCTGAGAATCTTTGGTGAATATCTGCAGTGCATATTGTAGATAGTACACACCGCTGCTACTGAGCATTGGTAGTAGAGGGAGTGGATGTTTGTGAATGTGGTGCCAAGCAAGCGGGCTGCTTTGTTCTGAGTAGTGTCAAGCTTCTTGAGTGTTGTTAGATCTGCACTCATCCAGGGAAGTGGGGAGTATTCCATCACACTCCTGACTTGTGCCTTGTAGATGATGGACAGGCTTTGGGGAGTCAGTAAGTGAGTGAATTGCTGCAGTATTCCCAGCTTCTGGTCTGGTCTTCTACTCATGTGGTGAATTGAGTTTCCAATCAACGGTAAACCTCAGGATGTTGATAGTGGAGGATCCGGTGATGGTAACACCATTGAATGTCAAGGGGCGGTGGTTAGATTGTCTCTTATTGGCGATGGTCATTGCTTGGCATTTGTGTGGTGTGAATATCACTTGTCACTTGTCAGCCCAAGCCTGGATATTGTCCAGATCTTGTTGCATGTGAATATGGACTGCTTCAGTATCTGAGGAGTCATGAATAGTGCAGAACATTGTGCAATCATCGACGAATATCCCCACTTCTAGCCTTATGATGGAGGGAAGGTCATTGATGAAGCAGCTGAAGATGGTTGGACCTAGGACTCTAAGGAATTCCTGCAGAGATGTCCTGAGCTGAGATGACAAACCTCCAACAACCACGACCATCTTCCTATGTGATACGTATGACTCCAACTCGCAGAGAATTTGTCCCCTGATATCCATTGATTCACCTGGCATAGTTGAATATGCCCTTGATGTCAAGGGCTGTCTCTCTCACCTCACCTCTGGAATTCAGCCCTTTTGTCCATGTTTGAACCAAGGCTATAATGAGGTCAGAAACTGAGTGACCCTGGTGGAACCCAGACTGGGCATCAGTAAGCAGCTTAGTGCTAAGCAGCTACTGCTTGATGGCACTGTTGATGACACCTTCCATCACTTTATGATCAAGTGTAGACTGATGGGGCAGGAATTAGCCATGTTGGATTTGTCTTGCTTTTTATGTACAAGATACACCTGGGCAATTTTCCACATTGTTGGGTAGATGCCAGTCTTGTAACTGTGCTGAAAGGACTTGGCAAGGGGAGCAGCAATTTCTTGAGCACAACTCTTGAGTACTTTTGCCCGAATCTTGCCAGAGCCCAAAGCCTTTCCAGTATCCAGTGCCTCCAACCATTTTGTGATATCATATGGAGTGAATCAAACTGGCTGAAGTCTTGTATCTGTAATGCTGGGGACCAGTGAGGAGGTCAAGATTGATCATCCACTTGGCAATTTTGGCTGAAGATTGCTGCGAATGCTTCAGCCTTTTCTTTTTAACTGTTGTGTTGGCCTCTTCATTGAGGATGGAGATATTTGTGGAGCCTCCTCCTCCAGTGAGTTGTTTAATTGTCCACCACCATTCACGATTGAATGTGGCAGGACTGTAGAGTTTAGATCTGAGCCTTGGCTGTGGGCTCACTTAGCTCTGTCTAACACTTGCAGCTTATGCTGTTTGGCATGCAAGTAGTCCTGGCATGCCCTCCTGCACTGTCATTTGCTCCATGTTAACCTATGCTTGGTGCCACCTCCCATAATTTCTCATATACTTCAAGCTACAAACCCCCAGTGCTCCTTGTTCCCTCCATGGCAACTTTTGTCCCTGTAATCATTTACAGTGCCCTCATACATAATGAACAAGGGACAACAGTCGACCCTTCAAGCCTGCTCCACTATTCCATAATATCATTGCTGATCAGAGTTTAACATCAACCATACATTCCTACATATCCTTAATAATCTTTCATCCCTCGGTAATCAAGAATCTGTCTATCTCTGCCTTACAAATATTTAAATGGAATTCCAAAGACTCACAATCTTCTGGGGAAAAAGAACTCTCCTCATCTCTGCCTCATTTTTATACTATGATCCCTCAGTTCTTGATTCCCTCAAAAGAGGAAACAGCCTTTTGGCATCCACACAATGGAGTCCCCTCAGATTCTGCTAAAGTACAGAGCATACAAGACTAGCCTGTCTAGCCTTTCCTCATAAGACAAGTATAAGGCAACAGTATGTTATGCCATTGTATCTAATTCCCATAGTCCTCCAAATCCTTCAACCTAACCTGTACTCGCTCCATTGTACCTTTATTGCCTCCATGTCAAATTAGTACAAATTCATTCCAACCCTTGTTTTCTCCCACCCAACACCCTTTGTCCCTGTCACAACAACTTTACCTAATATTCCAACAGGTCTTAGAACCCAAGGAGATCAGATAGAATAAAATTCTAAGTATGTCTTGTAGATTTCATTATATTGAACAACCATTCATTCATTTAAAAAAAAAAGCCTACATTTGCATTCCTTCAACTACAAAATACCTTGTAGGAACTAACATTTCATTCAGGTGAACAATCCCTTTTAACAACAAACATTGAAATTCATTTATGATATCACTTAAAACTGCCAAACGAGTTGTGAAATGACAGGCACCTCACTGTGACAATCAATGGCAGTGCAATCAATCATGCAGTAGCAATCCAATAATGGAAGCCCTTAGGTTTATATCAATAGACATAGTGAAATAGTAAACAATTATTTCTTTAACACTCCATGCATTTCTCTCAAATAATTAAAGGCAAGACTTTTGAAAGCATAGACACTTGGTAGCTTCCCTTGGCAGTTGCGTTTGATAGGTCGTTTTTGATGGATTAGCTTAAAATTTGTTGTTGACACTTTGTCCAGTTGATTTTTAAAGGTCTAAAAAGCTTAACAGTTGATGAGTTTGTGCACGTATTATGCCCATTCATGCCTACTTTTGTCCATTCTAATGGGTACCATGCATTCTCCCAAAGACGGCATGGTGCCTTATCTCTCCAAGTAGGTACTTTGGCTAACCACACGAAGTTCAGACACCCTCCTAAAGGTCCACATTATACATTTAATGTTCCACATCCTGAGCTACCAAATTATATAAAAGTGGATTGAGCTGATGTTCAAAATAGCAAGAGGTCCCCAAGAACTGCGTATGTGTACATCCTGATCCAAACTGATTCCCAACTCCGGGAAAATGAGATGTGCCTTATTCTGGGCCAGGACTTACAATTTCTATGTTTATTCAAGATTTTTGTCACAAATGATAAGTTTCTATCATGCAAAAAGTCAGGCCAAAAATACTGAAAAAAAGCAAGTCTCAGATTCAAGAAGCAGTGACTGGGGTAGAAAAAAACATAGTAGAGACAATGATGAGACATTTACATGGGGAGATATTTGAAATAAATGGTAGAGACTATGGTGAGACATTGAAATGGTGATGTAAAAATCATCCTGTTCAAATTCCAATCAAAGCCTAGAGGCTGAATTTTAAATCTGTGGTCAAGAACTGGATAGTTGGATATTTTATGGGTCCTGGCTATGCATTGTGTCAACGTCATGACTTGAATTTTAAAGGTAAAATGCTTAATTGGGCCTGAGGCATCTGTGGAACCCATTTATTGAAGTAAGCCTTGAGACAGGACTATTTCCGAAGATAATTTTCAAGGGCAGATTACAGCCATGACTGAACTTGCCATTTCTTGGAGGAATTGACAAGGAGGAGAGCCGAGGGTCAGAGGCCTCAATGTCCAAGCAAATAGTCAAATGCCCACATGTTCACTACTTAATCCACCTTTCTCAAGCAATGGCAAATTTGTGCCACTATATGAGCACTGAACTTTGTGCCTTTCCTGCACAATACTTTAAATGAACAGCCACATAAAGTAATGGCTCCCAACATTGCTCCCAACATGTCCCAGCCTATTTGTGCCTCTCATTCTTACCTTTGAAAATGTGATTCTGTCTCTCTTCTGCCTGTTAAATAGTTCTTCAATTAGGTTAACAGCAACATAATTGGAGTTGTGTGGTTTGCTGACAATTCCTCTAACTCCTCTTTACAAACATTAGCATGTATAGAGGTGTCAGAAAGCTGACATGCTACTTAAAAGTACACCCAGAGCATCTCCACTCCCATATGTGACAGAAAATCTGGCTCTGCATGTTTTTGTGACAAACGGAGGACATGAAATAAGAACTTTTAAAGAAGGCATTAAAAGTAACAAAAAATAAATTAATTGATAGATTTAAATATTCAGCAATATATGCCCTTTTAAAAAAATTTTAAGACAATATAAATTCCAGTTACTGCAAAAATAAATGCATAAAATATTTTGATCAAATCAACTCATTCATGAACAACCATGACGAACAACTGCTTACAGTGGTAATTCCGACAACAAATATTTATATTACCAATTTCAATGTAAAATGTTGACATAAAAACATCAAAGGATTTTCTGGTTTGTGGACAGAAAAATCCAAAAATGTACAAACTGTTGGCAATATGGCAATTCTAAATAATGGCATTTAAGAACGAATGTAATAAGCATGAAAAGAAACAAAGATTAAGACAAATGAGGAAATAACAGAATTGGGACAGATGTAAACAATGCACAAGGAAATTTGCATCAACATAATAGACTGAAAAGTGTTCCTCCATGCTGAAATTTCTATAACTTTGGTTAAAAATGGCCAAATCTAATGATTTGATTTGATTTGATTTATTATTGTCAAATGTATCTAGGTAAAGTGAAAAGTTTTGTTTTGTGTGCAGTACAGGCAGATCATACCATACAAAATGCTTTAGGGTAATGGAACAGAGCAAAGAATACACTGTTACAGCTGCAGAGAAGGCACACACAGAGCCAGATCAGCATTAAATTTAAAACTTGGTAGGTCCATTCAGAAGTCTAATAACAGCAGGGAAGAAGCTGTTCTTGAATCTGTTTCTATGCATATACAAACTTTTATATCTTCTGCCTGACAGAAGAGGGTGGAAGAGAATATGACCAGTGTGGAAGGGGTCTTTGATGATGTTGGTTGCTTTCTGAGGTAGCGGGAAATATAGATGGAGTCAATGGATGGAAGGCCGGTTTGTGGGATGGACTGTGCTGTGTTCACGACGCTCTGTAGGTTCTTGCAGTCTTGGGAAGAACAGTTGCCAAACCACACTATGATAGAATCATGTAGGATGCTTTCTACAATGCATCTATTAATTGCACCCATTTTGAAAAGTGCATTCTGCATCCCTTATCCTCCCTGAATGTCTGTGCAAACCCATATTGTTGAATGAAACTGCGGCCAAGAAACAGCACAAATCAGGCATTGTTTTAACATGTAATGCTTTCAATGTTATGTTGCTAATATTTCATTAATGAGCCTGAATTTACAGAAAACAGACTGTGGTAGAGAAATTCATATTCTGTGTGCAAATACTTTTTCTACCTATGCCTTTAAACTATTTTGTATGGTTTCTGTCCAGTCTCAATACTGTTTGCTGCCCAGTGGAAAGTATTTATCTCTTCAAAGCCTTCCATAATGTTGAAGACACATCAGTATCGTGGACACTCAAACAATCATGGAAAAACTTAAATTGTAATTAAAACTAAAATAAATGATCCATTCTGCCCACCTATGTCAAGAAGCATTTCTCCATCAACATATCAAAATTATTATTTGTCATTACACACTATACATACAAATAGTAAAGTAATCTTTTTGGAAGGCATTAAAAACTTCATACTATATTTAGAATTAGTGCAATTTAAGTGCAACTAGATCTTATTTTTTAACAGCACTAAAAGCCATTTACATTAGCCTATTTTAAATTAATAAATATTTTATTAACAAAATCTACTTATCCTACTTCTATTTTTTCAAAATACTAATACCCCTGTTTGCATCTTACAATGGTTACTCACCTAAGTGCTTTATCCAAAGTCAAATCTGTGAAGTCAAAGAAACTAAGATATTCTTCAGCCACCAGCTTGCTGAAATCATTGCTAGAAAAGAAAAAAATACCAAATTCCAAAATTAAGGGAGATCGTGTGCTGCAGTTGTTGTGTTCATATTTCTGACGTAAATGTTTCAGGCTCGAGTCCCACTAGGGCTTGTGGTTGTGAAATGAGAGTTTGTAACATGGCTCATTGGACTAATAACCAGCCTGCAATTCCTTCCACCAATTCCCGAGTGCTCCCCAAAGGAAGAAAAATGTGTGTGAAGATATGCTTAAAAATATATTGAGATACAAAGGATGGCCAGTCCCCATCTGGAGTATTGAATTCAGTTGTGGATGTTTTATCTCAGGAACAATATATTGTACTTTAGGGAGTATAGTGCAAGTTTACCAGATGATACAAGAATGAAAGATGGGCATCTTTCACAACATTAGAGAATTTCAAAGTGCTTCATTGCCAATCCTGTAATACTTATGTATAGTCACTATCATAATGGAAGAATTTATACAAGCAAGATCCCATAAATAGTAATATGAAAATGAACAGTTCACCTGTATTAATTATGTGAATTGATAGATAAACATTGATCAGGACATTGGGTGAACACCCCTGCTCTTCAAAATAATTCTGTAAGTTATTCTAAAATCACTTGAGAGGACTGATGGGGCCTTGGTTTACTGTTTAATCCAAAAAACTGCAATGGCAACAGTGCAGTATCTCTAAGCAATGTAGTGGTATGTCAGCTTAGCATTGTGCATAAATCTCTGAAGTGGGCTGAGACCACTTCCTACTTTAATTTGGGCACGTTATAAAATGTATACCACCTAGAATCTCAAGGATAGTGCTTCCATCCATGCTCCAACAGATAGCAAGAAAAAGAGGAGTAGTCTGAAGCAGATGGGAAGAAAGCCTGTTTCCACTCTTTACACTGATAGCTAAAGATAATTGCTTTCTTCCGCTAGATTTCCTGCAAAAATATTTCTAGTGCCTCTATTGGCTCTTCTGCAGACCCAGTGTCCATTCTGAAATCTCAGAATTTTCCATCACCTCTCACCAATACAGATCTGTTAATAGTGTTGCCTAACCCCTTAAGATATGATATAAGCCCTTTCAATTCTTTTCCTACATGCCGCTTCTCAACTTCAAATCAAAAATATTATGAACATTTAGAGGAAACTGAACAAATTTTAACAATTTTGATCCCCAACCTGATAATGGGTCAGCAACCATAAGATTAGCTGAGAACAAATTCCTCTCCATTTTCCCTGTTGTCAAGATCAGTGGCACATCTGTTAGCTGGTTTCTGAGATAAAAAATTTGCAAGGAGTGCACATCTAATCATTTTCTATCCATTAATGTAATGTAAATAAAAAGCTTCTGAGACATGTTACTGGTTTGTGGCAGAGTTACCCTTCTGTGTAGTTTCCTGCCAATTGCTAGCTCCATGGCAATGAATCTTTTATGTGAGAGAGATAGACAACAAGCACATTCTAAATAACCTTGGGAACCTCGGTGGGCTATAGTACAATGACCACATCCCCCTTCAGTCTAACCATCTCAAACTTTGTTTCAACATTTTAAGCTACTCCTTCAGTGCTATCCTCGTGCCTCCATGTACCAGAAATTGACTTAAGGAAAGATGCACCAAGGGAATGAGGAGACAGGAGTTGGAATTATTCATAACAATGAACATATTACTGTTTCTTGGTGGGTAACAACATAATTCAAATATTGTTAGGATGATCAAATACCAATTCTTTCATTTTCTAATCTGCTCTGGCTATATTCTCCTTAAATCTAAAAGAAAAAAAAAGATACCGTTTCCTCTGTTCTTCATCATAACGTTGTTTTTAAATTTACTCATCAAGTTTGTTTTAACTTGAGAAGAGAAAACTCTTTTACCACCATCTCTGCTCTGGCTTAGCACTGTCCTCATTCCTTAAATTTTTCGGCTCCACCTGCTATATTTTCCCACTGTTCTCACTCGGCTATGTTTCATAAAACAAACAACTGATTCATTTTTCTTGCTACAGTTGTTGTGATTTCTCACTGTGCTAAGCCCATCTGCTATTTTCAAGTTACAACTTTTCTCTACCAATGCTGTGCTTCACAAACCATTCTCTGTCTTCCTATCACCTTCACAGTTCTCAAATTATTAACTCATATTTGTAACAAGTAGTTTGACTACACAGAATGGGGCACCAAAGTTATATATTTCCTGTTGTCTAATCACTCATAAATTAATAATCTACTATGCATATTTAGTCTTATGTACTAAACCAATGAAGTTTAAAGGCAGAATTGAATGATAACCTTCGCCACTAACAATGAGCCTATTTGTGTAAATGCAATTCTCCTGCCTAATATAATGGCCAATACAGTGGAACTGTGCTGCAATGTAAATGTAAAATTCCACTATTTCCATTCTCTTTTTGATTATGTGGCCAACCTTAATAAAATTCTCTCTCCCTTTAATTTTTCAAAGACATTGAGTTTTCTATAGGCAATAATCATACAAAAATGTGTGTAGTCAATTTAACAGAATAATTAATATTGTGGTAAAGAAAGAGCAAACAACTTCAACTTCCTGTCCAAATGGCCTTAGACCACAATGTGTGTGAAATGTTCAGTAGGTCTGGCAGTATCTGTGGAGAAAGAACAGAGTTAGCACTTCAGGTCAAATATGGCTTTTCTTCAGAAATGCTCTGAAGAAGAGTGATGATATTTGATTTGAAACATTTACTCTGCCTCTCACAGCACATGTAATGCCAGTGGTGCTTATTATTTTCTTTGTTCTTATTTTAGATTTCCAGCATCGGCCATATTTTACTTTCATTTTTGGTTTGAAGCAGGCTTGGTCTCAGTTCAATAGCCACAACTATCCTCACAACAACTACATTGAATAACACACAGGAGCTTCCAATTTACAAATGTTCAACCTTCAAATACTCACACTTACAAATGCAATCTCATAGATGGGGTGTAATTTTAAAGATCCATTTACAAACGGAGACTATATATTGTCCTGCATTATATTCCAACTTGCATACAAATTGATTTACCAATGGCCTCAAGAATGGAACTCATTCGCAATCCAGGGACATTTTGTACTTTTAAACAGTTAAATAAGGGCAGATTGTTATCCTAAAGTTAAAGTGCTCCATCTGAAGAATTTGACTTTAAGCTTACTAACTTGGAAGCCAGGGAAGTAAATAGAATCTACCTAATCTACTTCAGTATAATCTGAGTTTAACTGAAGCAATGGTCCGTGCGAAAAAGGAACAGGAAGTTTAAAGTGGCACAAATTCTTAATAAAGCTGCTTCTGTCCAAATCAAACAAATTATTTAAGGTACCATAAACAGTAACTTAGAAATTGGCAAATAGTTAGCAGTCATGACGCATGCAAGCAACCCACTCACAAATGAATATTAATGATGTTTATCTTTATTCAAATATTGATTTTGATACTTGACAGAAGTAGTTATTAGCTAATACTCAAAAGTAATCCTCAACAATATGTGACAACTTACTTCTTTCCAAGGTGCCGTGCCACATCACATCTTTTAAACCCTTCGAGATTGTACAGTCTTTTGGCAAGTCGTTTTGCAGGATCTATATCCGTTTTGCAGCCATTAGCTAAAGTGTCAGTGCTTCCATGTTCAAGTTGATCTGTACTGTCCATTTCAGAATCAGAATCAGATAAGGTTTCCTTAAAGTTGGCATCACTAAATCAAAATACAGAGAATTTAATTTGCATATCTCTAATTTCAAATAAAACAAAGAACTGCGGATGCTGGGGATCTGAAACAAAGAAAAACAGAAATTGCTGAAGAAACTCAGCAGTCCTGGCAGTATCTATAGGAGAACACACAGTTAACATTTTGAGTCCAGTGCTCCTTCTGGACTCGAAAAGGTAACTCTGTTTTCTCTCCACAGAACTCTAAATTCGATGGGGCTTTTTTTTACATACTGACCACGTAACTAAACAAAACTGGATAGAAATTGTTGAACAATGAATGCAGGATTGAAATAATCAAAAACTACTTTAAAGGCACTTTATATATTCAAATTAGGGCCCTCTTTGGTGAAGCAGTAATGTCTCTATCCTTGGACTGGGAGCTTCTTGGTTCAAGTCCCACCTTCTCCAGAGGTGCATAATAACATCTTTGATCAGGTTGATTAGAAACATAGGTTAATAAAAAAACCTCAAATTATTATTACTCACAAGGTACAGCCTTTGAAAGCATTATGTATATGTAGAGTCTGTGCCTTGCTAGTAATAATAATTTGAATTTATATAATGCCTTTAAAGCAGGAAAAGGCAAAAAGGGTGCTCCAGTAGTACAATCAGACACAACTGTCACCGAGATGAAGTGGGTGAGGTTGGAAGTGGAGATGGTAACTAAAAGCTTAATCAAAAAGGTAAGCTTTAAGAAGGATCTCAACTGAAAAGAGGGTAGTGGAGATGTTAAAGAATTTAAAGAGAAGATTACAGATCAAGAGCCTAAGCAGTTGAAGACCCAGCCATGAATATTTGTGTTAAGATTGGACAAAGGATTAGACAATTCAGAAGAGACCAGTGCTGGGGGAATGCTGTGTCGTTAAAGGTCTATGATGCTGTAGAACATTATACGTAGAGGCAAACGAAGGCATGAAAAAAATTATGCAGAAAAACAAAATATTTAAATCAGAAACATTGTAGAACCAGAGCCAATGCAGGATAATAGCAGCAGAGTTTTTGATGATCTTTACCAGATTAGAGAGTCAGCTTTTAATAGGATAAGGTTGCGACAAAGGTATGTAACATTTAAACTTGGAACTAAATAGTCACATAGTTGGAGATGATGTTGGATTGGTTACTCTGGATCAAGTAGAATTCCAAGACTGCTTGCAATATTGTCGAAATGAAACAGTGGATGGAAAGGTTGATGGAATCTGCAAAATGAGCATGGAGTATATGGCAGTATACACAATATTAAATTGGAGGTGATCATGGCTCATTCAAGATTGAATGACAGTCAAGCAATCCAAACAAAGAATTCAAACGTGGTGGAGGGAGGAAGTTGTGTGGTATTACCACACATTTGTAAGTCGAAAACATGTCTTCAGAAAATGCTTCTGAAGTACAATACTTAGAGGAGATGAGAAGAGGAGATAACTATATCTAAACATGTGCAGTTTCTATGAGATACAAAAAACAGTTTTTGTAATTGTGATCAAAAATCACTTTCCATACATGCCACAATTCCAGAACAGGTTTCAACCAATAATACAATTGAATACATCTCCCAAATTCGGTCAGAAAAGTCTACAAATTATTTTCTGTACAATTAATTGTTTGACACTTCAGTGTGGGACAATGTAACTGGATATCACATTAATAAAATAATATATTCTTTGTGGTGAATAGTGAATTTAATTGACTATCTCCTCTTATAAATCAACCCAATTTTGAAATAAATTCACTAATTGAGAGACTCAGATGAAAAACTAAGAGAATTTACTCTCTAATTAAAATATTAAATAATCTGAAAGTAATCATTATCACTAAATCAGAAATAAGAAGGAAGGATTAAAATAGTGGCATAGATTTTACTGATCTCAGTTATGTTAAACCACATAGTACTATGCTGATGCTACATAATTTTTTGGAGTCTTCTATCTGGTGGTTGGAATCTTGCCAGAGGGCAATGGGATGCAGCAAATTAAAACTGAATTGTCTCATATGGAGATGATATACTTGAAGTGTTTTATAGCCTTTTCAAAGATTATGTGATCACTTATCATCTTTATCTTTAAAATCCCTTCACAATTTCAACCCATATTCTCCAATTACAACTGAAAACAAAAAGTGCTGGAAATCACAGCAGGTCGGGCAGCATCTATGGAGAGAAAGCAAGCTAACGTTTCGAGACTAGATTACTCTTCATCATTCAGCTCTGATGAAGAACCATCTACACTCGAAACGTGAGCTTGCTTTCTCTGTACGGATGCTGCCCGACCTGCTGTGATTTCCATTGTTTTTTGTTTTCAGTTCAGATTCCAGCCTCTGCAGTAATTTGCTTCTCCAAATACAAACTGTGTTTGAATTTGCAATTTTTTTTGTAATCCATATCCCATGTAGCACCATCCAGTCTTCCGTTAGGATTCCAGCTGATGGTGTCAGTAGACAAGTTAGATTCCAGTACGAAATCAGGCTTGAAAGACCACAAGCTTTACTTTTATACTGTGGTTACTGTGGTGATCAGTCACTCAACATATTCTCAAGATGTGCCAATGTATTTTTAACAAAAACAAGTTTCTTACACAAAAGAGTGTGTGTGTGTTTAATACTTTTGAAACATCTTGTCATAAACAGCAAAAAGAAAGATTCAACCCTTTTATTTCCCAACATCGTTTACAGACTGCCACTCCTTTCTTCAATTTGAAATTTCTTACTCAATTGACAATATTGTAAGCATGTCCTTTCAGTGAATTTCTGCACATTCACTGGATATGATTCCCTCTGTCTCTTTTGAGATACCCATACAAGCTAACTCACTGACCTTTCTCTGATTTTGACTACTTTGAAATTGCTTAAACTGCTGAAGATGTCTTTCCGACTCTTATGGCCTGAAGACTTCCGCAAAGTAAAACCTGCCCTTCTGCTGGATTGTGTTTTTTCATCTGAACTCAATCTGCTTGTGCCCCCTAGCATTTCCTTATGCCTTTATTTCTCTGGGTCATAAAAAATCAACAATAAGCAGCAGTTATCTCACCAGGGATCTTGTTGAGTCATTTAGTTTAAGTCACATGATTTCTTGGAAATGCCTCCATCAGCTCATTGTTCCAAATGACTTTTGACTCTTTCTTGAAACAAAATGATTTGACATTCACAGCACCGAAAACCAAAAATCCGTTTACCCCTTCTTTATAACCAAACTCTCAAATGGTAATAAAATATTATTGACCTTCATCACGAGACCAACGTATCCTTTGGCAGACCTTTCAATTACATTGGTGAAAGTCTTTGGAATCACCTGCCTAACTCCTCTTCCCTTTTATCTCTCTCTCTTCCTTTAAAAGTTTTCTCAAAACTCATATTTTCAAAAATGTTTTTTATCACCGCTCCATAGCATAGTGACCACTCAATCAACACTCATTTTAGTTCTTCTCTTTCCTATTGTTATGGATCAAACCAGACACCCTCAAAATATTTTAAGAAGGTTGCCTAGACCCTAATTTTTTTTCTTATATTTAAAGGCAAATGTGAAGTGCCTGTTCTAGATGCAGTGCAACTGGTCAAACTACTTGACGTTAAGCAAAAGCACAATATATTTAAACATTATAGTAAAAATACAAACAAAAGAAAGAAGAACCCAATTGGAAAACTTAACTGAATAATAGATACAATACCTATTACCAATTAACTGTCCCAATATAGTAACATCCCATAAACACACGCCTTGGCAAAAAGGTAAATTCAGACACAGATTCTCACATGCAGTTCTCCAATCCAGAAGGAAAAAAAAAATCAAGAAAAAATTCAGAGACACTAGCAGCCCGGAGACATTCACTGAAGCTTCCAACCTGTTGAGACCCCAATAGCTTCTGATACTACTGTAAAAAACCAAAACCCAGAAATCTCGATCTGTGAGAGTTGGCCACTATTTCAGGCTCTATTTAAAAAAAAACCCAAGGCCTCCCAAGCTGTTTACATTACCCCAGACCGCTTAGTACCTCTGCCTTACAACTTCTCTTCAAAAAAAAGCAGGACAAAATAACATTTAAAGCCACAGCATCTATGAAATGGATCTTAAGAACACTTTCTATATTAAACTAACTATATAAATACATTTTTCTTATTATCATTACAGACCTGGAATCTTTGTATTCAGTTCTGCAAACTCACTGCCATAAATGTGGTTTGGAAGGTACAGTCTGTCTCCAGTGCAGCCTCATCTACCTCCTCTTCTCTCCAGACTGTGTAAATGAAGGGAGAGTGCTCCTTATAAAAGTAACTGCCCAACTGCTATGGGTATAGCAAATATACTTGGCACGGAATGTCTCCCGATAAACTGTGCAAAACAAAATACTTATCATATTAATGAACATTTTACAGTATCACATGATCTGTGGAAAAACTTAATAAATTCAAAGTGGTGCACATGCAAAGTGTGTATCAGACCTGCCCCTCTAAGTGGCTGGCTTAACAAACCAATAAAAGAAAATAGCTTGCATTTGTGTGGTTCTTTTTCTTCAGAATGTAATAAGGTAATTCACCAAAAAAAATTATTATTGAGATGCAATTGCAATTATAACTGAAATGGGGCAGCACGGTGGCTCAGTGGTTAGCACTGCTTCCTCACAGCACCAGGCACCTGGGTTCGATTCCACCCTTGGGTGACTGTCTGTGTATAGTTTGCACATTCTCCCCATGTCTGCACAGGTTTCCTGTGAGTGTTCTTGTTTCCTCCCAAAGATGTGCAGATTAGGTGAATTGGTCATGTTAAATTACCCCGTAGTGGCCAGGCTAGGCTAGGCTGATCAGCCATGGTAAATGCAGGGATAGGGTAAGGGGTGGGATGCTCTTCAGACGGTCAGATGGTCTTAGCCCAAGGACTTGATGGGCCTAATGGCCTGCTTCCACACTGTAGGGATTCTATGCAAAACACACTGCTATTGTCCACAGAATAATAATGGCCTGAAGCACCAGAACCTTGTGCTATTGCTTGAACAATACAGT